CGCCTGATTCCCTGCTACCTTTCGTTCACCCCCCTCCTCTCTCAAGTTTGATCCTGCTCCTTTGTTACAAGTACCTCACAAGTGGGCGCACGTGTAAAGTGCAGGGTTGCTTTAGCCAACGTGGATGTAAAACCAATCCACTCAGGTAAGGATCGCCTGATCCACCCCTCACAAGTGCATGAGTCGAAAGGGGTATAAAGGGGATACTGTAGTTTTGCCGCTTTCCCCATAGTGGAAAAAGGTGAAGGAGGCACAGAAGACGTGCAGCCATCCTTATCATCCTTCCCGATCAACTAATGGGCCTGGAAGACGATGTAGGTTGGACGAACCATGGACGATCCATCTGTCCTTCCGGAAGGACATCGTGTCGCAGCTTGCAAAGCAGAAGCCGAACGACCCGTTCAAGTGACTTGGCAGCGTGTCAGAGTGCGCTGCCCTTGCTCAGCCCAGATTGCAGCAGTGCATGAGGTTCTGCATAGACTGCAAGAGCCCATGCAAACCATTTCTATAGATGGCAGTCTGATTTGGAATGATTTTATCCTGTTTACAATGATGACTAAGCAATATAGTTTTATTATAGAATATCTTAGTATATATTTTAGCTATTGCCTTGATTCTTGAGGTTCATTGCGGACGCTGTCGCCAAGCAAACTGGAGGCGTTTTGGGCGCGAAAAATTAGACCGGTCACGGTTGCGCAACTGCACCGGTCACGGTTGGTCAACAGCGGTAGGAGGAAATATGTACCGGATTCCCGGAGCATTCCAAGATAGTCGCATGTTTGGTGCGAACAAGTGGTCTGACTGGAGATTTCTTGCGGATGGCCCGGGACCGGTATGGACATGTGATGTCATCAAAGGGACTGTACCTGTGGCATCCTGTCGCATTTTGCCTGCTCGGCACCCTTACGTAAGGTAACCGAGGTTATTCATAACATTTCATAACAACTCAAAATTCTCGTGGTTTGCAAGCTTCCGCAGAATGGCTTATCAAGCATTTTTGATCAAGAACTGTACCACCGGAACAACTCTCCGGTTCTCACCAGGCACTACAGCCACAGCAGCGGTGCAAAGCAAGACAGAGACAAAGGCAGCTCCGAAGGCATCGCTGCTGTTTCTTTGTGATTTGTGTTCTTTGGGAGGTCCCCAAAAGTGTATTGAAACTGGTTGCATCAGACAGCTCACCTCCTGAGAGAGATTTGTATGCAATTTTTTGGTACGGATTCCGCACTCCGCTAATCTCAGCGGCGAAGCGGCACCAGGCGAAAGACAAGAAGGTGGAGGAGACCTCCCCCAAGGCGCGGCCGTGCGGGTTCGATTTGGCGTGAAATGCTGGGCCGAAAGAATAATCAACTCCAATAAGGAAGCAGCTCGCATCACAAAATCTGCGAAAGCAGAAGGAACAGGCTCTCCAGCAAGGTGGACTTTGGTGGCGCATAGACTACTCCGCAGGGTGAACATGGTCAGCAGGTGGCCCACCAGAACAAGGCGGACTGGATACCGTGGACCCCGGATTGGCCAAGGCAGCGAAGGCAAACAAAGCAGAGGCCGCACCCAAGGCAGATGGAGAGCCGAGGGATTGGTGCACCGGCGAAGCGTTCAACAGGTGTTGGGAGTGTTCACTTCTCAAAGGACGTCAGAGTCCTTTTCATCGCTTTCTTTGCGTTCGCTTGCATTGGTTTGCATTGCATGCTGTGTGCCATGCCTATTTCACACTAGTAGGGCACCAGTGTTTACCTGTTTGCCAAGTATAGCACACACTTCTACCGTATAGACTTGTGACTTGCATTTTCCACAGCGCTGAATGTTGATTTTTGGGCTCAAGCTTGCAGAGAAATCTGTGCTGTGTGCGATTTGTGCCTTCAAGCCTCTTGAAAGCTAACAAGCATGCCTCGTGACAAGGATGTGTACTTTGCGAAGCTCGCTGAGCAGGCCGAGAGGCAGGGCATTCTTTCGAGTTGTGCCAAGTGTTTGCTGCCATGCCTGACAGTGCCATTATGTGTGATGACGGGGTGTGCAGGTACGACGAGATGGCCGACTACATGAAAGCGGTCGGCGATGATGGCTCCGAGCTGTCCGTGGAAGAGCGCAACCTGCTCTCCGTGGCCTACAAGAACACCGTTGGATCTCGCCGTGCTGCGTGGCGCATCATTTCGAGTGTGGAGCAGAAACTCGGCCCGGGCAGTGGTTGCGGCATTCTGGGGACCTGAAACTTCGGAGTCCGTACCTTTTGGAGACCAGCAAGACAAGCAAGCAGCCTAGGCGGACCTAGCCGTTGCCAGACTATATATCGATATGTAATATAATGATATAGTGGAGTGTTGAACAGTTTTAACACTTGAGAAACCCAAATCGAAAGAAACGGTCGGAGCCAAGGAAGGAGAAATCCAAGGGCAATGAGACACAGGCTGGCTATGCAAAGGACTACCGTGTCAAGGTGGAGAATGAGTTGCAGAAGATTTGCGACACCATCCTGAAGCTTTTGGACCAGGGACTCATCCCAAAGGCCACGCAGGCAGAATCCAAGGTCTTCTACCAGAAAATGCATCTGGCTTTTGCAGATCAAACTTGTCAGGTGTTTTCTTGTCCAGTGTGAGTTTTCATGCTTGGTGCAACTCCCGATTCGTCCACGGTCAAACTTTTTACAATTTGTCAATGCTCTGATGTTTCAATCAGTAAGGAAGGCCGACTACTACCGTCTCTTGGTCACGACTTGTGAAACACTTTAAGAAACTTTATGCAGTTGCAGCTCTACCTTTTAAAGTAATACTTGGCACAACGTTTGTAGATTGACTAGTTATCAATCACATCGAGGATATGGAAGCGTGTACACCCGGATTTCTCAGTTGTGAGAAAAAATCCCTAAAGATATATAAAGGTGGATAATATATTCAGCAAGTTCCTCAGCATTATTGTCACACTCTCGCTTTGCAAATAGGTTCCACGCCGCATGGATCCTTCGGCAACCCCCGGCCATACTGTGGGAGAAACAAGAAACGACCCAGACCAGTGGTTGAAGATGATTCCCGGTCTTAACAGATTTCAACATAAACGTCTTCTTCCAGGTTACATTGCGGAGTTCCGCAGTGGTGATGAGAAAAGCAAGGCTGCCGAGGAGGCCCGGAAGGCTTACGCCGAAGCGGCAGAGGTGGCCAAGAAGGATTTGTTGGTCACGCATCCCATTCGCCTGGGTTTCTCAGCCTAAACTTTTGCGGAGAGATCTTTTTTCAGAACGGGTGCTCCTGGGAGATGTGTTTTACAGTGATTTCTTGCAAAATCCTCTTCAAAATTGAGGTGTTGAGCTATTTTTTTGATCAATTTTGTGAGATCCAAGCCTATCCCAGTTTAGAGGGAATACCCAAAAAAAACAACAAACAAAAAAACCGATAAGATGTATGTAAGTGTTTCTTTCAAAAGCTTTCCTTCAATGAAAATACAATAATCTAGGAAATCTACTTTCCCAGAGATCCAGAGGAAAGCTATTGAATCTAGAGATGTATAGTATTATATCTTCATTCGCTCATGATGCTACATTCATTGTGGGCTGAGAGTGATTTACCTGATAATATTTATCATGGGTGTTGCACATTGATAGTGGGCAGACGAAGAGCTGTTATTTGTCATTGACATTGGACATGGAGACTGGGCACAGACAGATCAAAAAAAATGCGTTTCGCCTAGTTCTCAGAGCAGATTGAAATTTTGCTCGGTATTTACAGTGTTTTCTAAGGGTTTTGAGCTAGTGTGTGCTCTCCCAAGCACACCCACCCTTTTTTTTTTGTGTGTTTGTTTAAATATTGTTATATATTTATGTTAATTACTTTGGGGATGACTTAGCCAAGATTGGAGTTCGTAAGATGAAGGAACTCAAGACATCCTAAGGCGTAACTTCGATTTCCAAGGCCCCCCAAGTTCGCTGGCAAAGTGAGGCTTGGCCTTGAACTACTCCGTCTTCATGTACGAAGTGCTCAATGATCCGGACGAAGCATGCAAGATGGCCCGCACAGCCTTTGAAGATGCCATTGCTGAGCTGGACAACGTGGCCGAGGACTCCTACAAGGACTCCACGTTGATCATGCAGCTCTTGCGAGACAACCTGACTCTTTGGACTTCGGACCAGGAGGCGGGCAATTAGTCCGTGCATCGCGCGCTCTCTGCGCGCATGGCTGTGCGACACAGACGGCACAGCGACTCTGACCTGTGGTCATTGGGAGAAGGGGGGAACCAAACGAAAGCAGCGCGAGGACGCCAAAAAAGGGGCCAAATGTGCGCCGGGTGCTTCGTTGGGAATGAGGGAATGATCATGGAATGATCTTGTATATATATATATACATACAATGGTCCCAGTATGATCATAACGGTAACGCCATCGTGGACCTACACAGCAGATCGTTCGCCACGTAAAGAGATCGACTCATTCCTGTTGAGCAACTAATTTCGCCTGTGCAAGTCATCAAGTTTGACCGAGATTCTGGGATGTTTGCAGCCCGCTTGCAGGCCGCAGCTGCCCCAGCAGGCATATGGCATAGAGCTGAAAAGCGTGGGGTCTGGAACAGCAATCCTACTCATGCTCATAAATGGTGCAAAAAGGAGGATGGACTTAAGGTTGTGGAGAAGAACATGTATTCAAATGTCATTGCATGTCATTCCATGTTCAATCAATGCTGATACTGTCAGAAGGACCAAATACAGGCCCAAAGTACAGGCTGGCAGCTGGCACACCATATACGATATATACGTTTTATTTTCAGTATTGATTCAAGAATGCTTTGCAAATGACCTTGGAATCCTAGCTTTCAGTTAACGGCTCAGTACCCATCCTCAGCCTTCAGCGCCGTGATTTGTCAACGATCCGCGACCTCAGGCGTTGTGGATGAGGCCGCCGTCCAGGCGGTTAGTGACGAGCTTCGGGCGCTGAAGGAGAAGCTGAAGAAGGAGGCCCGCCATTTGGTGACATGTCAGCGGTGCTTCTGAGCGGACTCCCGGATTCTTACGTGCGGACGAGCCGGGGGATGGATGAGTCGGAATGGCCAAGAGATGCGCTGCAATACCGTAGTCATTGTGGTGGTAGACATAGGGTGGCTAGGTTTGCAATGCTTTGACTGCTATTTGCAGAAAGTAGCTGATGTAGAGGTGTAGTGGATGATGCACAGCAGATGTGTTAAACAACTTAAGAAATGTACACATTGCGTTTGTGCAGGATATTGGTAAGAATCGCGTGCAAACACACGCGCGCTCTCTGCAGGTGTGCTGCCATTTGCAGGTTGTTCCCGCAAAAACAAGCAAAAGACACAAAAAAACAGGAGGGACACAAAATGTTCAAAGCCCTCTTTGGGGGTCGAAAACGAACATCGGATGACAACGGCGGTGCACAGACCTTGACAGGGCAAGAGCTCCAAGGACGGGGCTGTGTGGGGGATGGGAATGGCATTTTTGCGCAAGCCGCAACAAGCACTGGAAAGCCTTGCCTGGCGATAGCTTCACATGGTGTAGAAGGAAGCTCTATGCAACAGCGTCGATCTTCACATCTTAGAAATACGTATCCTCCTTATGCCCGGTGAGTGGTTCTCTAACAAAAAGGGATCTATATATATATATATTGCTATTTCAGGTATCCATTCTACAGTGAGGGACCATCACTGAGGGTATTCCTTCTTCGCCCCGAATGCCCCGAACCATTCAGTCAGGAGGTGAATGACACGCCGGAGGTCGCAGCTTTAGTTGCCAAACTCAAGGCACTCAAAGCTGGAGGCAATCAATCGGCGTGCGGGAGGGATGCTGTTGCGGTCAAGGCTTGGTTGTTGTGCTGGATAGTCGATATTTTTTACAGTACTTGGACTTCCACCAGGTAGGTTTCAGTGACAGCCAGCAACCTCCAGGGCAGGCACGAGTTATATAATTTCAAAACAGACCATGTCAAACACCGCACGCTTGACCGAAGCGTGCGGTCTGTTTCAATGCCAGACCATGTGGCGAGACGGACCCGCTTGGAACGACTCAGACAGACTCAGCCCCAAAGGACTCCAAAGCCGTCCTTCGACAAGGGGTGGGGACATGTGACTCAAGGGCGGCAGGAAAGCACTGAAAGGAGCAGCACTGAAAGGAGCAGCACTTGCAACAGGTGGAATGACATGTAACCATGGCGCCGAGACGAAGTTACAGATGGAACTCGGGCTGCGACCTATACCACAACACCAGCTATTGTGTGAGAAGGTCAGCCCCATAGGTGGTTCTCCGGACCAATCGGCTGCAGGGGCATGGCATTCCCCATCCTTCAAGTTCAGCACACGCACCGCTGAAAGCCACGGCCAAAAGCATGGCGTTCCATGCTGCTTCGGCGTCCCATGATTTGAGCCCTCCAAGTTCCGAACTCCAAGGACCTCCGTGTTCCTCCGGTCACGCGCCGCGTCGCGACGCACGCGAAAGACGTGACCGGACTCGATGGACCGAAGCCAGGTGCCAGCGAGGCACCGGCCGAGAAGGCCGGACAGATGGGGAGGTCGAGGAGAAGCAATCAAGGTTGTAAAAAGCATAAGAAGAGTAAGAATGAGTCTATGTAGTCATTGTATTGGAGTCTGTAGCCAAGACATATCATTTTTATTGGAGTCATTGTGAGTCTATGAATTCTCGAAATGAGATGTTCCAATAGGTCTGAGATGGTCTGAGTCTATTGATATTTTATGAGCATCATGGATATCCATGTTTATGGTCAATGATTGAATCACTCAGATCATGATCTGCTGAAGCAGGCTAGGTGCGGTGGTAATGTGTTGTGAATATGGAGGCAGAGGCAAATCATGGCAAATCGCTGTTGTTGTTGTTGTTGTTGTTGTTGTTGTTGACCAGCCTCGGGTTGGTGGCCTTCATGAGTGACCAGCGTCGGCCGTTGCTCTTCCTGCCTCGTGAACTGCCCACATCAGGATTTGCAAGACCACTCATGAGGCCTTTCTTCCATGAAGTCCATGTGAGACCGCAAATTGGACTTGTGGGGTAGAGCTTTCCGAGTTCCAATGGGACATGTACCTGAGGTATTAGGATGTTGTAGGAGGAGACTCATGAATGCAGCAGGTCGGAGGCCAACACCTTGAAGCCATACCTCCAGGTTGGCTCACCAGACCACCCCGTTCAGATCCTTTGGACTCCAAAACCGCCGGACATCTCTCCGGTACTAACGAGGCAACGAACGAACATGAGGTCCTTGGGTCCTTCGATTTAGCTATAAGACCTATACAAATAGGGTGGTTTTAGGAGGTTTAAGGGTCAATGTCGGGTAAGTATTCCATACATGGATTGTTGGGGTATGGCTAGGTCGAGTTCTTGATTGTGAGATATTGTGAGGATCATCGGTCATTCTGAGTCTGTAGTTCCCGCGGTCATCGTGGTGGAAGAACATTGACATGTTCTATGCAATTCTTCTAGGGGTTTGGGGTGGGCAGCTGTGTTTGGGTGAGCAGATGAATCCAGACTGATGGCCAAAAGATGTCGAAAGACGGTCCCTGGCTTCATATTGATTCACCTGAGAAGGCCCTAGAAACTACTGTACATCTTGGTGGTAGTTCCAGATTCAATTATAGTTTTCCTGCAAGATCGCTTTACTTGATTTTTGTACATGTGGTTTTACAAAATTTGCAACTGCGTTCTGCATTCTCCTGAGCGAAGGCGCTCTTCCTCCGCATCCTTGCTTTCCAAGGAGGAAAAGCCCAAGAAGGAGAAGAAAGAAAAGGCCAAGCCGGAGGCCGTGGCTCCCGTGCCAAGCTCAGATGCTCAGAGGAAAATCCTCAGAGGCGGCATTTTCTGCGCGTGGCGCGCGTGAACGAGTTTCAAGTGGCACAAGACCCCAGAGGGGAGTTGAAGTAGCCCAACTGGGTTTTGTACCTTGGTGCCACTTGAGCTCACACACCTGAATGATCTGTTGTGATTGTTAGGCGAAAACAAGTTCAAGATTCAAATGTGTTTTTCCGTTTCATGAGCTACCTTCCGTCCAGTTCTTTCTACATGTAGTCCATTCACATTTGAGATTTTTGAGACGGTATTTAAGGAGGAATTTCCTTCGCTACACATGCTGGCCGTGCTTGCATAACAGCAGCATGATGCGCCATGTTTGGCAGCAACATGATATATAATTAGGTGCCCAGCACTCCTTAGAAGATGATTCGCGAGCCAGATTTGTCTTTGAGGTAGAGAAAGCCAAGCAGCAGGACAGTTGGAACAAACGCGTCGACGCGCCGCTCAGTTCCTGTCTTGATCTCATCCGTTGGTGGCCGAACTATCTACTGTACATGTACTGTAAGTGCTTGGGAGAAGGAAACTGGAGATGCTGCCAGCCCTGCAGACATCTGCAGACTGCAAGTGGTTTGCTGGAAAGGTGAAGGGAGGAGGACTGGTGAACAAAAAGGCAGAGAATGTGCCAGATTGGTACGCCGAGGCCGGCAGTCCAAAATCTATCGGTGCCTGGGTCGGACACGAGGTTCTAGTTAACACCTAACACTAGCTTCTCGCGGCTGCGATGTGCAGCTTCGGAGGCTCTAGTGTGTGGCCTTTTTCTTTCTAAACGTGGATTTTAAACATCCTTGATTTGGATGACGTGGGTTCGTTGGGCGAACCCCAAGTCGCAGCCAGTTCCCTGAACAAGGTGACACCCAGTCTCCCTCCTTCTGTTTCCGTACAAATATATGTTCATCAGCCGAGCCAAAAGTAGATATTTCATGATATGTCGCGACCCAATTCACTGCAGGTCATTGGCAAGGGAGAGTTGATCGAGAAGTACCCAGTGCCTCACTTGGGCATTCGGGGCTGGCGGAGGTAGAGGCGGTGTCCAACGGAAGTGACCTAAGGCGACCAAGAGCTAATTCTACTGTGCAACGCTGATGTCGAATCAAACCCATGGAGCCACAGAATGCCCTAGGACACGTGCATGCCTGAACATTGCTATGTTTCATCCTCCCATGAAAGGACGAACGTTTGTGTGAACTGCCCATGGATATCCATGGGAACCAATTGTTGGGATCCAATTTGGAGATCTAGGATCTTTTATTTGGGCACGTGCGGGCATCGGCCGGATGACCTGACCTTGCCATTCGTCGCATGTCAAGCTGTCGTTCGTTGTTGTGCCACAGGATCAGGATCCTCATTTTGATGAATTCCTCAGGCATACTCTCTTCCAACTGCAGCATTGAAGGCGAAGGAACTTTCGAAATTTGTTCGAACAGTTTGGTAGGCCCGGGACTGGGCACCAAACACCCTCAAGCATGACTTTGCCTCAAACAATGTAAACAATTATAGCTGAATGAAAGAACAAGGAGTTTGCTTTTCGATGCTACTAAAGGGTAGAAACATTAGTTAAGTGTTCGTGTTTCTAGCCTACATGTTCCAACATGCTTATGCTGGGTTGCGCCAGTACAAACGTGCTTTTTGAGACACGAATGTTACCGGGATGAAGATCTTCGTTTTCATCCAAAGTGAAGTTACTACACCCCGGAAGATTAACATGGAACCTGAAAACCACTCGGTGTTAACGGAAAATAGTCATCCAAAGGTCCATTCTCAGGTTCCATGTTAATCTTCGGGGGTGTACACTGCGGTCGTCTAACATACTGTAACGATTTCAGTTTTGCGTTCTCTAGAGATGTTGTGGCTTGCTCATGGGAATTTTGGTGACACGACTTGTACATGTGCAAGACTAAGGTTAAGGGCTGCTTCATTCTGCGTCCATGGGCATACAAGCTTTGGGAGCAGGTGCAGGCGAGGAAACATCTGTGGACGGACATAGGTCGCGCACCTGGTGCGGTTCGGTGAGTTCGATGAGGGATTCTGTGCGTTCGCTGTTGGTGGCTTCTCACATCAAGGTTTCGCGGTTTCCCTGACCGATGTTTCACCTGGTACATGGACTTAACACGGTGGTTCGCTTCTTTTCAAGGGAACGAACAAGAATGCGTCCATTTTCTTCTGGTGAATGCCAAGCTTCTCGCTATCGACTTCGGACAAGTGCATGGCGGTCCCTTTGAGGGCTGGCTGGACAAGCGCATCAAGGAGATTGGTGCTCCTTGGACGGAGGATGTTGGAGACCGCTGGCGTTGGGCGGCACATGGTTTAATAATATTTTAAAAATATGTGATGCACCACTAAGCTCTCCCAAATCAAGTGGATGTTAGTCAAAACTGAGACTGCCAACGGAGCTGAAATTCAAATCACAAGAGCCAATGGGATGCCAATGGAAGGCTGGAGCGCTTGTTGGATTTGGACCCTTTACTCACTGTGAGACATGCACTAGATCCAAAAATGCCAACTGAAGCCAAAGAACCTTAGCTGGATTGGAGCTTCCACTGAACACCCCCCCTCTAAAGTTTGAAGCAACCTGCACCTAGGCCTAGGCCGCAAAAGGATTTCCACGTGTCGGGTCGTGGACTTGCGGAGCTGAGGTGGAGAATTGCTACTTTCCCATGTGCCGGGCCTAGCGTGACCATTTGACAAGACTTGGAACTTGGAGCGGAATGATGTGCTGGGCTCGAAGGGGTTCCTGTAAATGGGCGTTCAGAGGCGTTCAGAGCGCCCTCAGCAGAGGCTCACTTGGACTGAGTTGGCTCCCACCACCAGCCTCTTCTCTTTCTCTTCTCTTCCGTCACTTTCGGAAACGTTTGGTGGGCCGGGGAGGTTCATCCCAAAGTGCTACATGGAGAAAGAGAGTGATCATCTGGACGACTTCGCGCCTGAGCTCGCCATGGTCACCAAGTTTGGCAATGAGGACAGGCGAAACGCGGCAGGCACAACGCGTTCGACACTGGACGATGCGAGGAATCCAAGAAATGGTGGCCGAAGATGCACCTTGTGTGGTGTGATGTGGTGTGTGGGTTTAGCTAGTAACAAAGGGCATCGCCACAAGGAGCAAGGACGCTACTAGTAGACCCTGGCCCTACTAGTAACAAGAAGCTACTAGTAACAGTGTGTTGAGCCTTAAGGGGTTTGTGATTGGTGATTTGTGGATCCACAGGTGCCAAAAGAGCAGACTCTTGTCAACTACTGTGAGAAGAACTGTAGTCAGTGACTACTGTAGTGTATGCACTCATGTTCTCCATCCTTTTTGTATTTATGAATTATGTTCAGGTTTGTTCCTTCAACACGGCTGTCCCGGGTGCCGTGAGGACATCGATGAGCCCGTGGCAATCAGGTGCGACGTTGGGTTACAAAGCGTTTGGGGAAGCCGCTGCACACTGAAGAGGGTTTATGGAAGACGTTTTGGGGTGAGAGATGGATGTCTAACGGCATGGAATGCAGGTGCGCGTAGGATATCAAGATGTCACTACTAGCAAATCTGAAGATCAGGATTATAAATGAAAATAGATAATGAGATTAATGGAGGTGATGAAGAGTGAAGTCTGAAGCAGATGAGGAGGGGAGTCAAACTTCAGGCCGACCAGTGAGACGGCCATGTACGCGGCCTATTCTGATTGGGTCCAGTCGCACCGTGACCTCCCCATCAAGCTGAACCAGAACCTCGTTTGCATGGGACTGGGAGTTGGCAGGCCAATTAGCAGGAATGGGACGCAAAGATTTGCAGACATGGAGGGCACAGCACTTGTTTATGTTTTTTTTAATGTTTTTTGTTTGGGTGCTCGGGACATTCCTAAAAGTTCCAACATGTTGGCCGCCAAAAGGACGCTTTGGCCAGTCGGGCGGGCGCCATGTCGAGTGCGAGGAAGCCAAGCTGCCCGGTCGGCCCTCGAACATCGAAGACGGTGAGGTGGTGCAGCGTGGTGCGATGGGAAGTGAAGCAGACCACGCCCTTCTTGCGCACACGCGAGTTCCTTTGGCAGGAGGGGCACACAGCCTTTGCAGAGAAGGCATGGCTGACGCGTGACTAATTGGGGCATCAACGAATTCTGGATCCTGGTCCAGGAATGCATGCAAGCTGGAAGTCAGTCACAAGATCCATGGATTGATTGCATTTTTTTCATATAGGGTTCTTGGAGCATTGTGCGTTTTTGGGGTGTTTGTGCTGGCGTCGGCTGTTCTGTCTAAAGTCTAAAGTTAAAGCATTAATGCATTCTACGGCACGCAATGGCCACTCAATGGCCACAAGAGTAAACCTGTCTTTGAGCCGCAGGCGCCTGCCGAAGCAGAGGTGTTGGCCATCCTCGAGCTTTACGCGCGTGTCTACGAGGCACAAAAGAAGTCTGGTCCATCCTCTAGCAGGTCCTGCATGAATGGGCCGACCCTACACAGTATGGCCCCTTGACTCTTACCATATATATAATATATACAACAGGTAGTAGTTACTATACCTGGATGCGATGGTTCAGGTCAAGGAGTCGAACCTTCGAAGCGGGTGAAAGTGCCACCTGCAGGTCCCTACAGTCTTATTTGTTTTGAGCCGCATGCCTATATTATGCCTATGTCACTCTCTCATTGGGATGTGTCTTTGAGCGGAACGTGGATGAACTGAACCAAACCCAAAAAGCCGCTCCTTGCTCATCAACACTGCTCTTTGAAATAAACAGGCAGCCTTCGGCTGTGCAGGGTGCAGGCTGGCCACTCTAAGTCTTTGAGATCAGATAGTGGAGACTTCTCAACAAGGTGTGCATCATGAGCCCCACAAGCAGTTCCGGAGACCCAAAGCTACTGAAAAGAAAACTCATCGCACGTTCGTAAGCTCGAGACAGAATCAACGGTGGCAGCGGTCATGCGTAGTTGAACACTGTCATTTCTTCCGAAACTCCCGCCGTAGCAGCAGATGTTTATCATAATTTGGTTAAGCCATGCTCGTGAGGAGAGATGACTTGAACTTTACAAAATCCATGATGTTTACACAACTGTTTGATATAGCATGAATAGGGTCCGATTTGTGTGGCGACCCCGGGACCCCTCAATCCATGTCGCCACCTGCTTCCGTTTCACCCAGTCCCGATCATCCCAGGAGCTTCTCGCGGTTCCTGTGGTCCGGGGTACGAAAACCAAGGCGCTTGAGCCGTGCGAGTGTGGGGTCTACCAGTGTGTCGTGAGGATGTCAATCCCAGGGTGCAGGAGACCCCCCAAAGCATATGTGCGATTATGTGTCGAATAAAATATAACTACATTGTATATTCATATGCATAGGTGCAGAATTAACAGAATAACAGAATAACGAGGTTGTAGAATTGTAACAAGTGGTTCCTTAGGCCCATGGTTTGTGGGGCCTTTGCTTCTGGTGATCCATGGTGATCCCTTGGTTGTTGGACGGATCTTTTTCGGGGCGAATGTCCTAGACTGCGGACCAAGCGGTGTGCCCAGCAGACAGTTCTTTCATGTTCTTTCTGGGTTCCCGTGCTGGTCAGGAAACAAGAAACAAGATGTTATAGAACTGTACACATCAACTGTTCAATGAACACCTTATCCAGTGTGTGATGGCGCACCTCGTTACCGTACGCGTGGAGCAAAACCAACACGAGTTTCTGAGTTCCTGTGGTTCGTTTTCGCAGTTCCCAAGCGAATTCCCAGCGAATCCGGATGTAGTTCTTTTCCACCTCGTTTTTGCACAATTGCCATGCACGCGCTCCGTTCCGGACATCACGCCCCCCCAAAACCCCAACTCGGCCCTCGACGGCCCTGCGGCTCCCCCAATATCCATGAGGTTCCGGACGTCCCTCCATTTCACCTTGCATCCTTCGCGTCATAATTGAGAAGGAGAAAGAGAAGGGAGAGAAAGAGGAAGGAGAAGGAAGCAACAGACGAAGCAGATGAAGAAAACGAAGAAGAATCACGACAAGACCAGCAGCAGCGGCAAAAGCCAAACTCCTTCAAATCCTGTACCTGCCTAACATCAATCCCCAAACACAACATGTACTTGTGCGAGGCACTTCCCCTGCTCCTCCTTTCCGTTCGTAATTGAAAGCATTGCGGCATTGAGCTGAGAACTCAGCATAGGTCATAGGGCCTTGGCATTTGGGAATGCTTTGTGCTGACGCGCCTTGTTGACAGTTTATCAATAAGATTGATGGCCCATTGTATAGGACGCGACAAGGCTCAGCTTGATCTTCCGTAAACTTTTCAAAATTCTTGGACAATTAATTATGATCATTTGAATTTGGCTTACAGACTCTGTTACCTGTTACAGTGTGTCTTGCAGGTACTTATTGCACAAGCGACATTCTCCGCGCCTGGAGGTTGTGGATCCTTGGCACCATGAGAACGATAGTGGTCCAAAGAACAAGAACCAGCCCATCATTTGCACCTTTCTAGCAAAGGTCCCTCCTGCACGTGCAATTCCCCACAGACGTGGTCGCCTTCTGGAAACACAGCCTCATTCAAAGCCTGACTTGTTTGCTGGAAGCTTCCCTGTCGCAAAAAGTGCCTCCAAGAAGAGGTATTGCGAGCTATCACCAAGGGCTTTGATGGCTGTGGGCCTTGTGACACGACAGTGCAAAATCCGCCGCGGCTTGTTGTTTGAGAGGAAAAGAGAGCGAAAGGCCCTTCGAGGAAAACCTCGTGCTTGGGTGTAATGATTTGATAATGATTTAATGGTTTGAGTGTCCGGAAGAAGGGAAGGCCACTCAAACAACCAAGCAACAAGAACAAACGGTACAGTGCCAAAGGGGAAACAATGGTTTGCAGTTGTCACTGAATGCGGCCTTGGAAAAGTTCCCGGTCGAGAAGATCGATGACCAAATCGTGGTCTTTGCCATGCGCACTTGCATTGCACAGTTGTTGCCAGAACTTTTGTGTGATGTCCGTAGATGGTCTTGGCAAGCCGGAGGATGCGATCACAAAGAAGAGCTGAGCAAGTGAAGTTGCGTTCTGGTGACAACGCAGCTGACGGCAAAACAGCACGGGTGTTGAAACAACATGAGTCTCGCATGTGGTAAAAGTACACATTCCAAACTTCTGGATGGCCCCACGTGCACTGACGTCCTTCACGTCCATTGGTGCACATCCCTGACACCCCCCAGATCCTCAATGTCCCATCACCTTCGCGACAACCGGAGAGCCAACCGTTCCCAGAGAGTCTCGCAGTGGGTCAATCGGAGGCAGAGACCTTCCCTGGAGCAGACTACACCACCACTGTGGAGGTGGGGCCTGGGCCATGGAGAAAACGGTCAACTGCAGCTGCATTTATGGTCCAGTACATGGCCAAATGGGTCCAAAAACACAAACAAAAACTCGGGGGAGGACCTTCGAGGCGTTGTGGGTTGTTCATTCCCATTTTGCCTTGAAGGTTTTTGTTAGCATCCTTGCCAATGGCCATTGAACCCACTGCCGGGAGCAATGGGATCGTTCCCGTGGAAGAATAGGATGACCTGTGCTTGAATTCTCAACATTGATAACTTTTTGCAATGCCTCACTCAGTCCCCTTGCATGTGGTTGTTGCGGAGGCCTTCATTCCAGCCACAGGGCGTGCTATCCAAGGGGATGCTTGGCGAAAGATTGTTCTGGTGATGGTGGTGATGCCGGTGGTGGATGGAGGGCCAACGATGGCAACTCATAGTGTAAATCCGTGCGGCCACTGTGGTTTGCAGGTCCAGCTGTATTGCAGAATGTGGTTGTTGCGACCTGGGTTATATTGGGACAATCATCCATAGAAAGAACGCCGTTTGTAAGGGCCTGTTGCTGAAGAATGAATTGGTACTTGGAACGCACCTAATTCCCCTCCACGCAAGCATCCCTAGACAACGCAACTTGCGCGTAGTGCGTTGGCCGCGTGGACACAGCGAGGCCACATCACACCACTTGGGCGTGGGGCCCTGACTGACGATGGAGATGTTCAACGGCACAGAAAGCCTGGCAAAGCCCTTTGTATGACACGGGTTGTGCAACCAATCTTGCTGGCTAGTGGCAAGAGATGCTGCAGCAAGAGATGGCTATCCAAATGGCCAAGGAGTTCATAGGAAACGAAGTCTTATTCCTCTATTTATTGGTGAAAGAGGGGTAGTTCACATGTCATGTCGTGTCCGCACCTGGCTGGGACAACGCCGCTACTTTGTGTGGTGGGTTACCAAGATCAGAGTCGGCCCAAGAAGTAATATGATCATTTTTTATCGCAATTGTGCCTTTAACATCAATTTCCAAATGCACCTATTCTGAGCACCGCGTCCTTCCGACACAGTCTCCACACTTGGGAGTCCACAGCAAGGAATACGGACTACAGGGGGGGGTCACTTGGTGGCTTAGCTCCTTGATACTGCGAGGGTCCTGCAGCTGAGGTCAAAACTTCTCGAAGATGTTTGAGATCCAATTCCAGGATTGCCCCTCATGTGCGTCTAAGACTTGTGCTGTCGCATTTCAGGCAAACATTGTGAAAAACAGGAGGCTCCATAACGGGGGGGTCCCATGCACTTCCGAAGCAAGCAACATGAATTGAGGTATTTATTCGGACCATCACTGGCAGGGTTTTTGGAGCAACCTGACTGTTCAGGATCCCAAAGATGAGAGCGGGAAAGGCATTGAGCACGCCTACCAGAAGCCTGGATGTCGATAAATTCGGAAGATGATGGATTCGGAGCGGCTGTGATGGTAGCAAGGTGTGCCAAGCCAGTGGAAATGAACATGAACCAACGCCCGGCTGGACCACATGCGGCCAACAGCACTTTGGCACGCCCGGCTGGGGAAGCCCGTGAAAACACGCTGACTGATGCTTTGAGGCTCCAGGCATTTCTACTGGGGCCACTCCGTTATGTGGCCCAAGTCCTACATCCCTTTCTGGCAACCTTTCTTGGTTTGTGTGGAGGGTCGTGTGGCTGTGACCCCTTGAGACAAAGAACTCTTGACTCATCATGACTGACTAGGACACTTTATGTCCGAATGGACCATAACGGCTGATTCCTGCCAACAAACCCGGGAAGAATCGCGTCTCCGAGTCCTGCTGCATATACGTAAAATTCCATCGCATCCGGGACCCGGTCGGAGTCCGATGCCCAAAAAGGAACTCCTGGGGTCTCACTCAGCGAGTGATCGGTGTCATGGCCGGGCTTCCCAGACGACTGATCTTCTCGAGCGGCGCGAGCGGCATCATGTCAGCCGCCAAGAAAAAGAACGGCAGTATAGCAAGTGGGTGGCGTTTCTCTTGCAAAGCTTCAAAGTTTCAAAGCAGGCGTTGTTGTTTTTATGCGTTTAAACTATATAAATATTTCGAAGTTTCAGACCTGAAGTATATTTGTTTGAAAGTGGCAGCTTTGGTGCCCCGGCACTGGGTGCGGCTGAAAGATGTCGACCTGGCGTTGGGGGCCAACCTTCCTTCAGCTCAGTGTGTGGGTGGGGGGGCAGATTGCGGTCTGAAGATCGAGGCAGGAAGAGACGAGAGATGATACGCCCTGGAAGGTTAGCATGGAACCTGAAAACCACTGGTTTGTAGAGAAATATAGTCTTCCAAAATCTTCCAAAGATGTAATTTCAGGTTCCGTTGACCTTCCCGGGTGTATCCAGGTGTAAGGGATGCTTGTTCTGTTTGCTTGTCCCCAAGGTGATGGTTCACGGTGATGACAAGGGCCTGGTTTTGCCGCCCAATGTCGCCGGCATCCAGGCTGCTGGGGTTCACCGTCATCCGCTGGTGAAAGCGGGTCATCGAAAAGGATCCTTAGGAACTGAAGTGAACTGAGTCGTATGAACCTTGCTTTCAACCGCATTGATTGACCCGACACTTATATAAGACAAATAATAATGCATGTTAATTACTGTAATACTTAGCTCTGAACAGATTGTGGTGTCCCCCACACTTGGACCATCCAATCTTCCACTTCAGGTGGTGATCGTTCCGGTGGGCATCAAAGCCACGAGCACGGAGGAGGAAAAGACGACCTTGAAAAGGGTCCGGCATCCAAAAGGGCGCTGAGCGGCATGAGTCTTGTGGGCGCACTTCCTGCACTTACGGGGTGATGTTCAACGGCCTAAAGGTGTAGCATGAGTGATCCAGTTTTGACTAGTCACTGGCCTTTGCATGTTGTTAACATGGAAGTCCTCCTGAGTCCTGATGAAACGATGGCAATCGCCTATTTATGCGATTGTTGTTCCACAATTATGACAATGAAGCTCGTGCATCGTGGCAAGGTGTCGGAGGAGTATGAGAAGATGCTTCAAGATGCAGGCAAGGTGACGTGGGGGACTGACAGACAGGATGGGTGGATGAGCAGCATGAGATGTTGATCGCTTCGTACTCGGACCAGACTATCACAGACTCTATGTGAGGGTTTCATCCGTCTGTGGCGTCGCAAAATCGAATCAAATTCATGCAAGAAAATGCCAGATCAAGAGAGGCATCGAAGGTACCTAGACGGGAGCCGGAGCTGATAGCCAGGCATTTCAATGGCCTCAAGTGGACAAGTCAAATATTTAACTTTGTTTCCCAAGTGTTCCCTTCCAACAGCTGTGGGCCACCGGCTGATGTGTTTGTTTGCGTACTTTGGAGAGATGGGGTCTTTCCTAAGCCCCCAGGTGTTCGAGCTTTCCTGGATGGTGCCAAGACCTTAGATGAGTCACTGTGCCCAACGCGTCTCGGTCCGGTCTTCTCGGTCCGGTCACACTCTGCTAAGGACAACGTGAACTCCCCGGGCTGGAAGTTCAACCAGTGGGAGATGAAGGGCGTCCCTTTGAGAATCGAGCTGGGTCCCAATGACATTGCCAAAGGCGCTGAGTTCGCTCGCTTGGGGCGCTGAGTTCGCTTCGACTCAGAGGAGGTCGGACCAGAACACGAATTCCTCAGAGGTACCTTGAGGATCGTTTAGGATTCTTTGGGGACAGAGGGGTGCTAGGCATTAACATAGCATTCGACTGTGATCAAGTTAGTGGTCCAGGGGCGCCAGGTCCTTGAGATTGTCTACGCTAATCCAGCAGCCGAGTGTTTCTCCTTGAGCTTGGCTTTTGGGTGTTTCCATCTAGCAAGCGAGCGATCATTCTGCAGGTATCCCATGAAAACAGGGTTCAATTCGGGTTGGCAACTGAGGTGCAAAATGGGATGTTTGCCAAAGCAGGCGAAATTTGTAGGAGGAAAGCCTTGGAAGCATACCCACTTCACCTCCGAGCCTCCTTTTTCCTAGGGGCATGCGATTTTTCGTGGCCCAGCAGCTTTGGCTGATTGCTTGGCAGGCCAGTTTATGATGGCGCGACGCCACGTTTTGGACCCCAAGGCACGTGGAGCATCAACTGTGGCTGGTGAAGATGTTGCACTCCCCAAAGTCCAAAGTAATCATTATGTCAGGGAGTGTAGGCAAATTGTCACCTTTGGCGTGCTTGTTTTCTATTGGCGCCGGTGCTTCTCCTTTGGTGTCCGCGGTGCTTCCTCTACCTACCCTGTCGATGTGCTTACTATATTCTTTACTCTTGGGTTCACATCAGTGCCTTGAAGGAAGCAGTGAGCCCGTGTGGCCTGCATTCAGGAGAAGCTAGTTGGCAGGCATGACTCCGTGGTTGAAGATGTCAAGAGCTTCTTGCTTTGAACCTGGTGGGTGGCGGTTGCTCATTCCGTGGCATGCAATTTGATTTTGTGAATCTAATAAGATCCCAAGAAGAATGTGATGTTTCGATAGGCGATGGTAGCAGCAATTGGCTGAAGACTGCTCCAGCCTGTTGGTGACCCAAACTGATGGAATTGCGTTGAAAGGGTTTTACTTGTGATCCCCAATGTTGTCACCGGGGCGTCACAACAGTTTCCACTCTTGGCACCTTCAGTCTTCTCCCAATCCTACGCTTGATTGGTTCACGTGTTGCACACCCGGTGACCCCCAACCCGGTGACCCACAACTTGACCACGCGTTCCGACGCGTGGCCGGGCCCCAACCGAAGGCCGGGGCCCAACCGGGGTGACGGGGTGACGGCACGGTGGTTTTTTCATGTTCGTCGTGTGAGGAACGTTGGACGAGATCCACCAGGCGCTTTATGGCAAGGCCTTGAAAGAGCGCGATGAGAGACTGGCCTCGGTGGACGAATGGAAGGACGGACATACCGGGGTCCGGTTGTGCGGGCAGATGACCGGTTGCAGGCGCTGGGGATCGGTGCTGGGGATCGGAGCTCGTTGGAACACAGAGTATGTATACCCAGACACTCCATGGGACTGGCATATTTACATACACGGGGGTGGTTGACCTGGGGTCAATGCACGCATATAGCATATTTTACAATCCATATCATACCATACATGGAGGGTTTGGGATAGGCTCGGCTCACTTCTGCAATCATCCAGTTTGCAGTACTCAGTCTCGGTGCAGGACTTTAGCCCAAACCTGAATGCGGGGAAGTTGGTCCTCATCCCGTGCCTTGGCTAAATGCCTCATCTCTGGCGGCGGACTCGGCGGTCATCGAGTCCACGGAACGACCCGTTTTGCGATGTGACATGGGGCATTTACCTCAGTGTGTCGTTTTCATTCATCCTACAGCCAAGCAGCAGGCTGGAGAAATTCGATCAAGTAGTCAAGTAGAAATAGTATCATTTGGAAGATTCGGAGATGAGGCCAGCCACTCTGGACTGAGGTTCTGTGGGGAAAAAGAGTGTGAGGAGAAGATCAAGGAGGGGATGCCGGGCTACCGCCCTTGGTCTCCGGACGTGCGTTCTGACATGCCGTGTCAAAAGGCCGTCGCAGAAGCAGCATGACTCTATCAAGATCTATATATCAAGTGATTCCTAAGGTGGTTGCATTCCTACCTTTGACCACAGAGGATGCGCTATTGGTCCGTGTGTTGTTTGAACGATGAAGTGCAGAGTTGCAAGAATGATGCGCCGGCAAGCAGTGGCAGTGGGGTTTCAATGCTTCCCTAGTCTGAGACCAGCCTACATGACCTTCCATGCACTTGCAGGAGAAATCCAAAGAAGAGGTGGGACACGGCGGGAGACGGCGTGTTGTCCCAGACCCCAAAAAGTGCCATAAGGAGTTAGGTAGTGGAGTTGGTGCAGGAATCTGGCAAAGGCTTCGATGCCAAACTAGTGTGTTTTCTGATTGTGGCTAGCCATAGCTAACCACTCGTAACTATGAAAGGTCAAGGCGATGAGGGCAAAATTCCACGAGAAAGCCTGTTTGGCACCACCTACCTGTAGTTACCCCATTGTTGTAAGGCCAAGGAAAGCCACCAACTGGTAGTAAATGCAGCTAGCTGCATCTGATCCCCGGTCCAAGGCTATCCAAGACTTCATGATCTTCATGCTCACTGTATGCTGTGCACATGTTTTAGAAGCGGGCCGCGTTCAGATTCGCCAGATAAACCCATAAATATTGCTGAAGGCCAGGTTGAGTTCACTTTGGTGCGGACTACTCAGAGGCAGATCAAGTTTTTCGGGGAACGTTGGGGATTACTTACTTAATCTTACTTGCTTGCTTAATCCTACTTACTTACTTACTTACCATCCTTCATCATCATTTCACTATTCCCTTACGGAATTGCTAAGCTGGCCGCTGCTCAACCGCTCCTCAGGCACAAGAGGTGGAAGTGGCCGGAGGCCTCAAGATGGGCGCCAAGAGCTTGTGCATCCCGCACGAGGCCATCTTCCAACAGCGAACTGCACTGGCGCTGGGTGGGTGGGTGGGAGGGAGGGTGGGAGGGAGGAAGGGTGGGTGGGTGGGTGTGTTGCGCACAGCAAAATTCAGAGACTTTCTTTTTTGGTTGGCCCGCTACATGGATCGAGTCTAGCTTTCTTGAACACCTCGGAAGTCAGAGATCCTGCATAGTCAATCTGCCAGTTCTACCTTCACCAAGCCACTCTTCATAATATGCTTTTCTCACCGGCCACCTTTGGGCATGTACAACCATCTGAACAGCTGGGCATGTTTTGTGGTGCTGAACTTGGCTCAATTGCTTCAGCTTCAGCTGCTTACAGCGGCGTTGGAGGTGCCCCGGCTTTCCATAGCTTTGACTTTGGATTTTTTTGTAATCATCAATCTTGGGCAAGAGCAAAGTTCACTGCCTTTTGAAAGCCCCATGTGCCCCATGTTTGTGATCGAAACTCGGATGAACGCGCACACACACACACGGACTGGAAAAGACTGTGAATGAGATCCGTCATGATCCATTACTGTTCACTAAGTCACTAAGTGTCTTGTATCTTATTCTTTACGGTGATGTGTTTTTAAAGATTTGAAAGCACCCTTTCTGCCACTCGTGATGTTCAATTTTGAAGATGGAGTGTGACACGTAAAAGCGCTGAGGCATGGCACGGGTGAAGGTCGTGAGCTTCAGCTTTATATGCCACTAGGTCCAGAAATCAGTGCTCGACTCGGTATCGAATGTTCCCGAGTTGTTGTGGGACGGGGCAAGAGTGTCTAATAGTTTTTTATCCAGGCCGGAGAGAAATGAAGAATGCATTTTGAATTCATATTATATATATAATTTATATAACTATATATATAGACCCAACTAACACATCAATCAATGACAATATGGACCAGAACCCATGGACCCAGTGCTTTGCCACCTAAGCCCTAAGCTGAGGCTGTTTCAACTTGGTCATCGGTCCTTTGGCTGCAATGGCTGGAGCTTCCTGCAGCTGTACTATGATGTGTTGCAGCTTTACGACAGCAGGTCGAGAAGTGTCGGGTTGTCAACCTCAGTGCATTCGATACAACATCGGTAAACCGCAGATGGCTTCGCATGGGGAGCAAAGCAGTTCCTTTAAAATGGTTGCTTTGTGAAATTTAGTGGGGGTGCTGTATAGAGCTATACTATACTCGTTCACGGGCTCTTTCACAAGCATCCCAACTGAGTCCAAACCACCTGACCCCAGAAACATCTCAACTGAGCGAAGTGACCTTCCTGAGGATTTGCAAGTCTAAGTTCACCATGTTTCCCACTGGTGCAAACAAATGCATAGTAACACCAACCACCCTGAACAAGTATGCTGACCTGGGTGTT